TTGACCGAAGGGCAAACGTTATCGAAAACGATACGGATCGGAACACTTTTGAAAAGTGCTATGTATTAAGCGAAGTGGTGCAGCATATTTAATGGTCGTGGGCCCTGTACCACTATAATGTTTTTACACATTTTTATTAAATTATTATTGAATGAATTGTGGCAGCTGAAAGTAGGGTATTGGATAGCCCGGTTTTGCGTGAATATAACATTCTTGCTTGTTTTCCTTTAATATGCCAAGAAGATCAAAAGCTTGAGTCATAGACTGGCATAACTGGTCTGCTCTCTTATATTTTCTATGCAAAAACGATAGCCGTATTTAGGTTTGGGATTGAATTTGTGATTGTTATTTTAATAGATTCAGTCGATTTGTTAAATAAACTTTGGAAAACCATCTGTTAGTTTGTAAAATCAACATAAATGCTTGCCTCGATGTACGTACATATAGAAGATATGCGTATACACACAATTTCATATTCGTCTATATATGTAAATATATATAGAGAAATTTTAAAAATATTTTAGAAATTCTCTTTTAAACAAATGAGAAAACAGTGACCAGGGCACGTGAAAGCGAATTTTGAATAAGTATTTGATTCAATTATTATTCATTCACTATCTGAAATGAACCTTTGGCGAATAATTTGACACCTCCGATTTCTTTTGCCATTTTAGAAATACACCTACACAAGCACTATTAGGAGAGAGAATACTAAATTTATTTAGTGCCAGCTCTTTTAGAAAAGCTGTGATTAAGTTAATGTACTATGGGTGCTAGTCGTATGTTAATCCTAATCTCGTTCCACCCCTAAAAGCAAACAACACCGAAGAAATCAATATCGTTCTGACGCACGAATGGTTCCTTAAGAAATCTACTTCTTCTACCAATTTGCAATTTTGCACAAAATCTACACATCGCTATGCGGCGACAATCAAAAATATTGCATGGTATATATATATATATATATATATATATATATGTTATATGTATATACTTGGCTATGATGTCGATTGATCCAAAAAAATAATCAGCCAACCTATGCTCATAAGATTCTTATTTACTTACTTGTGTCACGCGGTAGTTACTCGAGTGCTTCCTTAAGAAATGAATAAAACATTCTCTGCGGTTAAGTATAAGTTAAAATATAACTATTCTGACTATATCGATTTTTTAGCTTTTTAACTGTAAAATTTTCGTGCTTTACCTGTGGATTATTTACTAAGGAATCTTGCGTTGCGTTACGCGATACCACGTTACGTAACTCTACGCTATGTTACGTAAGGACGATGCAAAAAAAGAAAATTTAAATCCTTCAACGTCCATAGGAGAATCCCTTTAATGTTATAAATATATATGAAATTTCGCAATGAAAAAATTCCAAGAAATGTCGCAAATAGTAATAGTTTTCCTCCTCATTGGTACTACACATCCCTCATAAGAAGAGACGTACGTTAGTTAAAAGGTAAAATTTGTACTAGCAAGTATTCATTATCGGTTAAGCGATGATATAGACAAAATGTAATTCAATTTGGAGTAGATTAGCGGCCGATGCATTTTTCTTTTTCATCGGAGCATCGGAAAGAACCCAAGCGAAAGCGTTTCAAAATTAAAAATTTTAAAAGTTCTTTCCGAAGATCAGCCCGATAATAATTAGACAACAAATTGCCCTTTGTCTTAAGGCATACTTGAAATGGTAAAAAAAGTTCATTTTTATTACGAGTTCCACGCCATCATCTGATATGTCCAAGAAAACAATATTTGGCCAATGCCGCGGTATTAAAAGATCAAAAATCGCATACCCATTACAATTATTGAACTCATGCTCAGATGCAACGACACATTGGGATCTAACTGAGTTTACCACGTCCTTACGACTTTTATATAGATAGTGCGGTGGATAAGCAAATAATTCCAAAGCGTTTGAAAGCGGCTGCGACGAAGGTGAACTAAATAAGCATCCGTCACTGAAAATATTTAGTTTTTGTTTTCCGGCCAATAAGTTGAATTTCTTAAAATTGTTTTTTATGCACCATAAAACAAAATAGTTAAAAAAAAAAAAAAAAAAAAAAAACAATAAATTCAGCAACAAACAGTGTAATTGAAATTTCAATTAAAAGTTTACTGTTTAACGATGCAAATGAAATTCTTGTTGATTTTTCGTAAATTTGGATTATTTTTGTTATCAACAACAACAACAACAACAGCAGCAACTATGTAGAACAAAAGCAATAACAACAATAACAATATATAACAACAAGAATAGCAATAATAACAACAATTTTCTAAACAATTGAAAAAACAAAATCTTTTTATTTTTTTTTTTGTTTTTTCTCGTATTCTTCTTTTTTCGCTTATAATAAATAACCACAAATACGGGCAAACGAAGGCAACGCGGTAAACGCAAACGTATATACATAAGTAACTAACAACAAAATGGCACACACTTCATTCCAGGTTGGTTAGCGATACATAGCAGCTTAGCTCCACCCTTCCGTACGAATTGCGTTGATGTTATTATTTGTATTATTTGTTGAGGGCGAAGTTTAATGTAATGTTACGGAGACTCTTACTAATACTACTGCTAATTGTTGTTGTTGTTGTTGGTTGTGTTATGTTGCGTTGTGTTGTGTTGGTCCGTGTTGGTATGATATTCGTTGTCTATATAAATGGCGAAGATATTTAACCCCTTGAATTGTTTGCCATTGTTTTAATTAAATAAATACAAAAATGTTATCCATTATAATATAAAACAAAGGGGAAGCGACTTGAGACGCCTTTACGTTCTCATTGCAGCATTCCCTCCCTTTAAAATTCTCATTAAAAATTAATATAAATTTTTTTTTTTTTTTTTTTTTTTGCTCAAATAAAATCAAGTAATTATTATAAAATTGAAATGCACTAAAGATTTTACTGAAATTGTTGTCATTCGTGTTGTTGTTGTTGTTGTTGTTGTTGGTGGCGGCTTTGAAGCTCGAAGAAATAAAAGACAAGGCTCGAGATGAATCGTTACGTCGCAACGCTGGCGAAAATAAATTAATTACAATTACAATTAAAAGCTTAATTAGACAAGAATACTGTAACAACTTTGTAAATAATAAAACGTAATAAACGACCAAAACAAAAAACAAGAGGAGGCGGAGGACGGAGTGGAAGAGCAGCGCAAAAGAAGAAGAAAAAAAGTTGAAATTATATGTTAATCACAAGTCAAGCCAAGCCAGGCAACATAATTGAGTTTAGATGCGCGTAAGCAACAAATCTGAAAAGCAGACGTAACAGTAAAACTCATCGCCTAGACAACCAACGTAGTAAAGCATGCACCAATAGAAGCAACAACATCAACATCAATCCACTTTACCCTGATGCTCGAGATAAAAAACACTATACGCGAAACCATATAATTTTTTAAGAACAGTGAATGTTCAAGGAAAAAAAGGAAAAAAAGAAAAAAAGTAAAAGAAGGAAGAAAAAAAATAATGCACTCTACACAGTTGTTGAATATTAATAATAAGAACTCGTATAACAACATAAGTTATGCGGAAGTTTATCAAACTTTTGTACAACGTGACACCAAATTATACGAAAGCATTTATTCGTATATGTAAATAGACGTTAGATGTAAGTGTATTATATACCTTGATTTGTTATTTTATGAAAATTTTTAATTTGAAAAACCGATGAAAGTGTTTCGAAGCCATAGTTGAAAAAATAAGCAATACAAAGGAAGAAACCAGAGACGGGCAATAAATGTTATCCTACTTAAAAATTATATTATGACTTAAGAGTACACACTTTTGACTATTGCTCACAGCCGTAACTAGGAATCAATTGATATAAATTAATGGATTTTTGGATAGGGCGAAAGCTTACGTAACCCTCATATACACACATGTGGGCGTTTCGCTTCTACTTCCCGATGAAGTTATCTATTCAATATAATAACTGTTCCCGACTTGATAATTTGACAACATATTTCATGCGAAAGGCTTAAGTAACAAACCTTAAGCACGTTCTCTTACGCCAATGCCAGTCATTACTTACTACAACTTATAGAAATTTTTTAAAACCCTTTCTAGGATGATATCAATCAGTTATTGAAATATTAGTAAAAAGGCAGTAATCGTTGATCCCTAAGCACAGTCATGAGCAACCGCCATCACAGCAAAACTAATCTTGGCCGGAATAAGTCCTCGTGAACTACGACCGTAATCTAAGGTTATTTAGGTTATTAGTAAATAGCTGCCTAATTAGTACCTCTTTTAACAGCCTTTTTGTTGAATATAAAGACATGGAATTTCTTCTTCTTATGGCAAACATCGACTTGTCGATTTCTTTCCCTATCTGAATTTGTGGTAAGAGTTATAAGAAATGCACTCCTACCGTTTGAAATTATGGTTTACATTGTGACTTTTTGTCTTCCTCGAATAAATGATATACATCGCATAACAAAGACAATGTAAAATGACGTGAAAAATTGTCTTCCTTTCTTACAGTCGAAATTATGGTATACATTTTGATTGATTCTTTAATCGGAAATATCGTACACGTTGTTTAATGAACAAAATAAAAAGTCATGTCGGAGAATTTACTTCTTACGTTCGAAATTATGGTTTATTTCCCTGTCCGGATTTATGATATACATTTCCAGTTATAATTGAAATAATTGTACGCATCTAATCAGAGACTGATTAATACGAAAGTTGAGTCGTAACACTACATCTTGGGTTTTCAATAATAATTTACCGACTTATGGCTATAACTAAGAAACTATTTTATAAGAGCAAATTTTTCCTTTGAAATCGGAAAAATTAAGATACAAAAATTAAAGCTTTATATGTGTAGTACACAGTCAGTTGATCATTACCGATTAAAGTAATAAGTAAACATTATTGGACAACATTAAGATAATAAATAAACCAAATGACTAGTCATTCCTTTAGAATCGAAAATTCATTACTTTCACCCGCAATTCAAATTTTTTTTCTTCTTCTTATACATTTAAGGTTTGGTTTAAAAATCGACGAGCCAAGTGGCGTAAGCAAAAACGTGAAGAACAAGAGCGCCTACGAAAATTACAAGAGGAACAATGCATTAGCAATAGCACTGTCAACAACAATAGCAGCAATAACAACAATAATAATTCAACGACGACGGCAACAGCGATCATTAATCTAAAATGTACGCCTGAAGATTATGCGGCGCAATTGCAAATCAAATCAGATCCAACATATAGTGATGCCGATGAATCCGATTTGGAGGTAGCATAAGCATAAGTCTCTGTATTAGTTGCAATTAACTTAATTTATATAAATTTTGTGAATATTTTTATTTATTTCAAATAATTAGCTTAAGATAAAGCTGGACTAACGCCTACTTACCGTCCTTCAAAAGATTTAGCGCACATTTTATTTAGTTTAGTAAGGCATATAAGTGAGAAAAATTTAAGTGAGTAAATTCCTTTCCTACGGTTATTTTTCGGGTCCTTTTTACTTAATTGCAGGTGATATGATGTGTGACATAAACTCACCCTCGCCGCTGTTAGTTCTGTCACTCAAAGGGTATTACACGTCTCAAAAAAACCATAGTCAGATGTCTCTGATTCAAGATTGCAATGAAATTTTCTTAGCAATCGAGCTTCTGACGTGTCATATAAAATCTACGACGCCTTCGATTATTTGGATCGAACTCACACGGATTATGGAATTCTAGGAAGTCTTTATAATTATTTAGCGGCCTCGTTAGTCGTTGACAAAAGATATCTGAAAGGTTTATCTAATTCATTACGTATATCACCTTTGCTTTTACCGAGAACTGTTTCTTCATAATTTCTCACTAGCCTTCAACCATTAAAGTCACTTGAACTAGTTCAAGGCAACTTGGACAATAATCGTTATGTTATCATAAATGGTTCAGCTTCCTTCATTAGGAATGATTAGTTTCAAAAAACCAGCTGCGTCCTGCTCAAGTCATGTTTGCTTACGATACGTAACGCGAATACAAATGCTTTCAAATTCTTGCGTAATTCATGCATCAACTTACTTAACGTGTCTGAGGCTTACTAATTTTCTTGGCAATCTCTTGGCATTTGTACGTAAATCATCGTCAACAAAAAACCTTAACTGCCTTTGGGTGACCTTATGTTGATTTAGACCGAAATTTTTTAAAATAATTTTAATACCTCCGCTGCATTCATCTGTCCTTGCTACGTGTCAATTTCAATAGCTTTTCCTCTCCTAGCTACAACGCTCGGCTCAATACTGGAATGCACTGCGGCAGACTTTAAAATGTATTGATGACCCGTTGATTGCCTTTAAAAGAAAATTTGCCTCAACGCAAGGTGATTACTTGAAAAGTGTTTAGTTCTTTCTCTGTACAGGTTTTATATCCAGTCTAACTATGAACATTGGCCTGTGGTTTTTCAACGGAAAATTAATTTATTAGAAAAAAAAAAAAAAATGGTGACTTAAATGTTGACTTCTGCAACCCACATTAAATTACTACAGAGTAAGTCATCGATTATAAGGAAAGGGTTTCTTTAATTTTTCAGTATTTCGCCCAACTGACGCTGGTATAATACTTTCACCGATTTCTTATTGTACTGTCCTTGTTGCGAAAAAGGTGTGCCATCCTCCACAAGCTTTTAATTTGCCGTAAAAATTAACTATGAAATGATCTTGACATTGGCTCAGATCCTATTAACTGGGGACCTTAGCAACAAGCTACATTTTGAACCTTTAACACAAGCGGGCGCATTATTTCCCTTTTTTTGAAATCTTTAGTGAAATTTATTAGTGAAGCTCTTAAAGAATCAACGCTTTTTTTTTTGATATGAGAAATTACTCATGTGCTGTCCCCTATTCACGCTGGCAGAAAGAAGAGAGTAAAGAGAAGGAAAGTTGTGGCCGCTGTCCAGTGGGTATATGCGCAATCGATAAGTTTTACGCCCTAGTCACCTGAGCACTCGCTACAGTTACGGCCAAAGAACACTTTACCGCACTTGGGTACGGGTACGAGTACGGACTTGGCAGTCGCGGTTCTTACCTACTCGGCTAGTCAGGCTGAACTTATATTGTGATGGATGCCTAATCGATTTCACCTTTTAAATCAATGTGATTTTATATGCGCATTGGCCTTCATCTCTATGTCTCACCAACTCTCTTAAGCGTATTCATATAACGATCCATATCGATTAATTCGAATAACAAACGGAATTTTGAGTCTTTAAGTGAAGTCGTCAAATTGCTTCTTCTTTTTTAAAGTCCTCTTACTAGCTAAGCCTTTGTAAAGATTATCCTAGCCCCTGCTGCACGGATCTTACCCTTATCATATATTCTGCTTAAGAGACTTTCGTTTTTTACTTTGAATTAAAGGCGAGCACACCATGTTTACGGAGATTGCAATTACAAGCTCTCTCCGTCTTCAAGGCCACTCACTATTTCTTTCTTTTTTCTCACAACTATTTGCCCGTTACCTTAGCACCTTACTACCTAAAATTAATTGATAGCGTAGCCGTCAACGATTCAGATTTCCTTCGAGCTTACTACATAGATAGCAATAAATGGAAACAAGTTTACAAAGCTGGCAAAGCGGTTGACAATTGTGCTTATTAATGAAGCGCTCAAGGTCGCACGGACTTTTTAACAAAATTGATGTTGTTTTTCCTAAATGCCAAGGATAGTATTTCTTTTAAAAAAACAAAAAAGAACATGATCGCTATCATCATCAAATTCGCGCACGCAGTAATCGTAACACTGACTAAATCACATCAAAATGACAAAATTCCTGCTTGAGAACTACTTTCTTGCTACGCCTGAACTAATAAAATGCGCTTGAAGATCTTCATTTTAATTTGTAATTAATTACTGCCCGAGAACTTTTGAAAAATCAATCAATAAATATCATATTATATATGTATGTAAAAATGCATATGCACACATCTGAACATTGTATCATATAAAGTTTATAGCTTATGTTTTTTGCCTTTTGTTAACTGTATTATATTGATAAATACATATATGCATAAGTATATCGTAGTGTGTGCAAAAGTGTGATTAATGTGTGTGAGTTTTAAATAAAATTTATGAAAATAACTTTAAAATGAGAAACAAAACTAAAAAAAAAAAAAAAACAAACAAAATAGAAAAAAAGTAAATAAAACAAAAAGTAAGAAGAGAATGATAAAAGAAAGAAAATAATGTAATAAAATAAATTAAATCGAATTTCGTTCAATGCTTTTGATTTTTTCATTCCAATGTAAACGAACTGGAAACTTTGATAAATGCCATCCCGTCGTTGTCATGACTTTCAACGTATGTATGCATGCATGTATGTATGTATGTATGTATGTATGTATATATATGCTTATATATGATTGAAGTTAGAAAGAGAAAAACAACAACAACAACAACAACAACAACATCGTCATCAAAAATAATAGCAACAACAATAATAGCATATATAACAATCGTTATCGTTTGCAATTTCTGTTTGCAAAACAAAAGAAAAGATATAATTGCTGGTCAATGAAATTGAGAGATAAAATGGACACAAAAATACCAATTATGTGCACACTGGAACATACATCTATATACCATCATTGCAACGTATATATTCTCTGAACATAGATATCATTTTTCCACTTTTGATTTTCTATATCAACTATACTGCAAAATATTGTACGATTCTACCTGTTAGACGCATGCATGTAGATACGTATGTATGTATGTATGTGCATTTGTGCTTACGTAAAGTTGGCTGCAAATCATATGTTGACCCGTTGGATATCGCAGAGCATATAGTATTGAGCTTTGATTGCATTTGCATGAGTTGTCCAATTGGCATGACGATGTTTCAAAATGGCCTCCTTTTCTATGCTTGCTGGCCATACTTTCCGCTTTTACTTTGGAGTTTCGCTCATTTATTTTCGTTTATTTCGTTTCGTTTTGCATATCCAATTAAGGTTTGTCTCTGTATTTTCTTCTTTTTTTTTTTTTTCAAGATTTGCATTTGTTTGACATTATCTTTGTTGTTAACTACATATAGGCACAAGACATAATTTAGAGAAACAAAAAATTACCCTTCAACCTAAGCAGTCGTTAATGAACCTGATTACATGCACTTGGAGTCGAATGGGCTGAAGTCTAAATGACCGATTTAATGAATTCGAAGTGCAATGCAAGCCATACAGCTTGTAGGAGTAGTCCGTGTATCAGTGGTCAAACGACTATATTTTCTTCTTTCTTTTTACATAACAGATTGCTTAGGTTAAAATGCCTTTAGTTCATTGTGTACCCAGTATATCAATAAGTACGACCGCCTTGTTAGTTCAAAGCCCAGTAGTTATAACCCGTAGCCGAGTAACCAAGCAGATAGGACTCGACACTAGCTTGGCGATGTTCGCTGATACAAAGCTCCGTAGCGTAGAGCACACTGGGTCGCAGCTATAACGAATGCCGGATCGCTAAAAATACAAAACTTATCCATTGGGCACACATACACTACGTTGCAGCCACTCTCACTCCCTATAGCCTCTCTCTTTCCCCACTTCTTTCTGACCTTCATCGTGCAACACACTTCAAGGACATTGCCTAAATAAATGTTCACATTAAAAAAAAAAAGGAAAATTTCATCTCATTACGCTTGATTTCCGTCGGCAGCGGGCTGAGAACCTGAATTTTGTATCTATTGCGATTCTTAGTAGTTCCCAATCTCATGGGCAGTTTATCCAATCGCATTTGACTTTTTCTTCTTTCGCTCGTTGGTCATTTGACCATTTTGCGAATGATGTCAAAAGGAGCAGCTGTTCGGGAAGACTAATAGTTAATCCAAATATTTCTGGCTGTCTTAAGAGAGCACATCTCTTCTTCCGTCTGAAGCAAATCTATTCTTATAATTTTTAATATTGTATTGTCTTGAAACGTTTAAGAAGTGTCCTAATCTCAAATAAATCAAACTTTAATCTAGTACGCTATTCCAAGCTACCATTCAGGATGCTAATGGTAAACACAAGTTACTTGTTTTGGGAATAATTATTTACCGGCGGAGTCGGGTTCAATCCTCAATGCGATAAATCATATCTTAATTGCAGTGATCGAAGGAACAGCGAATGCTAGGTCGGTACCGATGAGGATCGATAAACACGCGACAGCGGTTTGAAAAAAGTTTTCTCATTCTTTTACCCAAAATACTGGATGCAATGTCTTTTGATATCTATAGGGCGGCAACTATCTTTTGCACCTTAACTTTTTATGTATGAGAACTCAATTTC